AGCTTAACTTGTTTTTTTTACATACGTCGTGAAGCTTCTATTGCTTTTACATTAAAAAAGTCTTTAAAAATTGTGTTGATGAGGTCTTTAGATGACAAAAAGTAAAGATCTTTATGATATCATTATTGCCCATTATAAAAATGGGAAAAAAAGGTTCCGACATGTTAAGTATGTTAGCTAATAAGGTGCATCATGCTATAGTCCATTATTGGATACAATGTTTCAATTAGAGTGGTTTGGTTGATGCACACAAATCACCAGGAAAAAGATGCAATAGGCAAATCAACATATTAGTTACTTGAGATTTCGAGAGTTTTTCTTCTCATTTTTGTAATGGGTAATAACGATATCACAAAGATCTTTACTTTTTGTCATCTAAAAACCTCATCAACACAATTTAAAAACTCTTTTAATGTAAAAGCAATAGGAACTCCAAGACGTATGTAAAAATAACATTTTAAACTTTTATGATTTGTTAGTGTCAACATATATGCAAAATAATCAGTGCCATATACTACTTCACTTTTAGGTTTATAAAAAAATCATTCAAATGACTCAATAGAATTTCTCACTGTTATTCTAGTAGAGAATTTCACAATGCATCTTTAAAAGAAATCAAGATTATAAGATTTATCTGTGCTGAGATATTTGCAAAATACTAACTGTCACAATCATTATGAATCACCCGATATTTCAACAAAAGCAAATTTTTAAAGCCTTGAACCTTTTTCGTAATGATGCTCTTTTCAAGTCTTCAAAATAATACAGCGAAAAGTCTCGTTGAAGTTGTCTTGATGACGCGTTTCATTACTAGGAGTAAAGATTAGAATAATCTTGCAAGATAATCTTGCTAACGGTGGTTGATTAGTGTATAAATTCGTTCAATAATATGACAGAACATTCTTTCTTTTGCTAAAAGATGCACAAATGAAACTCTGAATCAGAATTACAAGCAGAAGTAGGCATATACTGAACCCGAATGTTTAAGTTCAGGATTGACTGCATTCATTTTTAGTTAATGAGCAAAATGACATGGAAGTAAGACGAAAGGAAGGACTTCATGATTAGCCATGGTAAATGAATGCTCAGTCAAATAAATGATTCAAAACTTGAAAGGCTATTCTGCCTGTTCATTATTTATACTGGAGCACAAGAACTGTGCAACTGAGACATGACAAGGATCTGTCAACGCTTTTAAATTAATTTCAATTTTGAATTTTTTAACAGAATTTATAATTAAAGATTGTTGAAGTTGGAATGATAAATTCAATGAAAATGGTAATCATTGATCATACAAGAATGATTTATATTGCCAAATACAATCAATAATTTCTTTAATTTTTTCAAGAATCGTTTTATTTTAAAAAATTTTTAGTTTTCTTGAACAATCTCAAAACAAGAAAATTTTCGAATATTTTCTTTTAATTGTCCATTTTAAATCAGAGTTTTCATGTGCAATATTTAATAAAAAATAATCAGCTTCATGTCTTATTAAATATTTTACAATTTGTAAATGTTCATTAAAACAAACTGCATGCAATAGTGTCGAATCAATTATTACTTTTAATGTTGATAATTGATCTTTTTCAGTATATTCGGTATTTTTTTGTATTAACTGAACATTTATCTGTTTCAATAAGATATTTAACTAAATTAAAATAATTATTTCTTGCAGCACAATATAAAAAAGTTGTTCTGTAAAGATCAGATTTATCTTTCAATATTGAATAATATTCAATAAAATCTTTGACAATTGATCGATTTTCATTCCATGCAGCTTGACAAGCATCAAGTAAAAAGAATCTACCTTGAAGATCATGTAAAAAGAGATTTGATACATCTTTCGTAGATAAAGTTGAAAAGTTTTCTTTCTTAATCATTATTATTATATTTATATAATAAATTCAAAAGATAATTTTGACATCGAGACGATAAAGATGAAAGATATTCATTCAAGAGATCTTTTATTTTTATTTTTATTTTCAAATCATTTATCATTTGTTCTTTATGAGATTGTTTTTTTTTTTTTGACTGACCAAATTATTAAAACGTATCAGACACAACATTGATAAGTATATTTGTAAGCTTTGTCTCGGGTTTCTTTCGTTAATATTTTCATTGGCTGTGCTGCCAACTATTTTCAGAGACCAAATGTACATAATATTTGATGCGATGTAAAACTTAAAAATTTCTTTTCTTTCTCGTTGAAATGTTTTTCTATTTTGCAAAATATTGTGACACTTTTCTTGTTACATGGACAAAAAATAAACAATCGACCAGGTGAGAGAAGACATAAAGTGCTTTATTTGTTTAAGTACTAGTGCGTCAATAAACTTTTTGAAGAAAGATTCAGAATTTCAGTAAAATAAAAATAAAAATCGTGTTCGATCCATTGAAATCGAGCTTTGTAAATAAGATGTATCTTTATTTCACACTGATGATATTTACTCACATTAATTATTTGAAAGATTTGCTTTTGTAGATGTATCCATGTTTACAAAAAATGTAGAAATTCAATTAAAAATTATTATTATTTAAAAAATTTTAATAATCTATATTTTTTGTTAGTAATGCTATGTAGAAAACCGACTGAAAATGAAGGTTTGCATTACATGTTCTATAACCTTTAAGCGAATTATCTTTTAACTAATATCAATGAAAATTGTCGAATAAATCAAAAAATGAAAAAATTTCTCTCTAAACTGCAAATGAGAGTAAAAACAAACTTGGTCATGCACAGCTTCACTTGTGACATATTCATCTCCGATGAATGTTTAAAATTATTTTTGTAAAAATCAATGAAATTTATTTTGTTAATATTTGTTAAATTTCAATTGATTGTAAAGGTCGAGATAGATATTTCTTTATTCAAATCTTCCATTCGATGTGTATTTCAATGTATTGATCTAAGTTTCTAATGAGTCTCGAAACTCAAAATCGATATTATCGATTGTCACTTTTCGATAGTTTGAGGGCTTGGCGTTAAATCGTTTTGACGTGCAAGTTTTGACTACGGGAATGATTGTTTTTCAGTTGTCGAAAACTATCAAATAAAAATGAATGAAGAGATTTCAATATGAATACTTGCAATTAACTTTTGTCAAGTATTCAGAAGAAAAATATGAACTTTTACTTTTATTTCAAAGTCATCTTTCCAGTAGATAAAATGGTAATACTTTGATAGTTGTGTTTGTTAATTTTAAAATTTGTTATTTTATTTTTTCTACATCTCTGACAAATAGAAGAGTTTCGCTTTTATTGGACAAGCTATACATACAACTTGCTCAATAAATATGATATGTAATAATTATCTATTTCGTATGATAAAAAATGAAATCAATATTTTGAAACTTTTTGAAGGGTTCAAAACATAAAAACTCAATATGACTTTGTCTTCATGACGATCGCACATGAATATCAATCGTGATTTTTATTAATCAATGATACATCGATATTGCTTAAAAATTTATAAAAAATTCGAAGAAATTTCAATTAAGCAAGATTAAATCGAGCAATGGAAACTAATACTGAGATAGATATGCTTCAATTGAAGCATTTGGAAGGATCCTTTAGAATATATTTAGTTTTCTTGAATGGTCAGAACTTTAATAGATTTCGATGTTGTGGTATACCTTACTGCGTGCTATAAGACAAATGTATCAAAGATAAAGTCCATGCTTGTTCGTTCTCTTTCTTTCTGTGCATGCATATGTTGTTAACTACACCGATGTGTTTTTTTTTGTTCTGTCAGTTATTTTCTCTCACTGCCTTTTCTTTTGTTTTAGTGTTATTGCTCATGTATTTTTCCCAATCAATTATGTAATGTATTGGTATTTTCCTGCATTTACCCTAGCACCCGATACATATATAAATACCTGTTGTTATCTATGTGAGGTGGATCTATACGTCTAATCTAATAGCATCTGGTCTGATTAAACACCATAAATAAACTATAAATGTACAACAACATATATCGAACATAACATTCGAATCGTTGAAATATGTTCAAAGAGCCAGCAATATTCCTTTGATAGATTTTCTCTTTCTGGGTGCTAGAAATTTAATGACCATGAAGTGGCTCAAAACTAGAGTAGCAGAAACAAAATTACATGTTTCAAACTTTTGATTACTGATCGTACCATGGTATACTTTTCAAAGTTTATTTGAATTACTAGTTTATTTTCAGTAGAGCAGTGATTAAATGCACTGTTTGAGTAAGTAAACAAATGTATAGATCTATACATTGATTAACATTGTACTATTTAAACATTTGAATATGAAAAAAAACCATATTTATCTCATGTTGTTCAATATTTCTTGATGAAGTTTAGACAAGCTATTGATTACTAATAATTAGTTTTTAAATGTAAAGATGAGATTAATTTTTAAAAAGTTAGCTCATCAAGTTCATATAAAACATAAATATATATTATTTTATGAGACGAAATATATCAAGACGTATTTTAAAGCCTATTTTCTTAGGAAATTCATAAATGTATATATGTAAAATATTTTTAAAGATGTTTGCATCAGGCAAAAAATTTTTTTAATAGAAAGGTATGTACACGTGTCGATTTTCTTTATTGACTTGATGAGAAAGTTGGAAACAAGAAGAAAACAAAAGAAAAAAAAGTAAGAAGAAAGAGGAAATACAGTGAAATAAAAATGAGAATAAGTTTCCTAAACGTTAGAAAAATAATTAATATAGTTTGTTATTATTCATCAAAGAAATCTTCATATAGATCGAAATCAGTATTTTGTAAGTTTTATCTGATATTGAGTCATTCTGTTTTTTTTTCTATTTTTGTTTAATAATGATTCATCCACATGTCTGGGTTTCTTCTAGATAAAAAAAAAATGTTTCTCGTCATAATATTTGTCATTTAAAAATCTCAGTGATTTCTTCAAAACATCAATCGAACAACAATAGATCCAGTATTATCTCAAGTTAGATTATCGCATAAAGATTAATACGTATTACGATTAATTCTCCCCATAAAATGGTAGTAATACGTCTAAAAATCATTACTATTTTAATATTAAGTCTACTTATTAATATTATACTCGAATTAATATTCAATTCTGTTTTGAATTTCTATCCAAAAGTAACATTATGGGAACATATTCAATCATCATTAAAATTAAAAAGATTGATCGGTATCATTTTCATAGGATTAACATGTTTTGTTTTATTATTTGGAATATTGATAACAACATCTACTCGTGGTATATTTAACATTTACATAGCACTTTTAAAATTCTTTGAATTAATTCTACCTCTAATTGATATAATCAATTTACTTTTGATTTATCAGTACAAAATAAAATATTTTACTGAAGAAAACTCATATATTGCTGGCATAGAAATGAAAAAGACAACGCATCCATCAATGCGTTTTTTTCTTTCTTTAAATATTGCTTTAATTCGTTTAATAATCAATATTGATATTGTACGTGAAAAATTTAATTGTACATGGAAAAGAAAAGTTATTATTTTATTCGATTTGTTACTTTCTATTTTGATTAATATCAATTTTATTCGATATTCAACTAAAAATTTATTTCGTATTGGACGAAAAATAATTTTACCTATATTAATTTATCAATTAAATGGTCTTTTGTTTAATGAAACCTTTTATATAGATTCAATGAAATGGAATAGACATATCAAACAAAAAATCAATTCAATATTTTTAATGAAATCTATTTTTTCAATATTTGATCGGTTTAAACATGAAGACGAATATCTTATCTTAAAATTAATTGATTTATTACACTATATACAATGGATTATATTATTATTTTTTGTTTATTTATTCGCTTGTTCTAGATTCCAGTCGATAATTATTGACGGTTATGATAGTTTATTTTCCATAAGATATGTTCAAATTTTTCTTAAATCTCATGGACTTATTTTAATGATGTGCATAATTATTCCTTGCCTTCTATATTGTAATACATTGCAAAATAAAAATGTACTCGACCAATATGGATTTTCACACTATTTCATTGGATTTTATCCTTCATCAGGAACAAAATCGAATGAAATATTTCCTTATTCATCAATACAAATAAAAACTACAATTGCAAAAGATGTTAGGTGAGTGTTTTCATATTTTTTCTTGCTTGAAATATAAAATCAAGAATAATGACATAATACAAATAAAATTATACTGAATTAACTTCATCATATTTTATACCAAATACGTTCTTATCTTTGTTCTAAACGTTTGACCTCAAATTTCTTAGAAGATTTCTATTACATGGATAAAATCTTTTCTAGAGGATGCTGTCTTGCCTATAGTTACGTTACTAATTTTTTTTGTTCAAACATTCAGTTGTAATATTAAGTATGAATGATTATAGAATCGAATTTTATGAATAGATCATCACCAATACTCATGAAGAAGAAACAACAAACATGTTCGGTATGCTATGAAGATAAAGATTTAGATGAATTCGATGATCTATTCACTACTAATTGTCGACATTTAAATCGATCATTATGTAATTCTTGTCTCTTTCGTCATGTTCAACAAGTTTTTCAAATAACATTTACTGATGATATTTATTGCCCTGAATCCGATTGTCGTGTTAGATTTGATTATAGTACAGTAAAAAGTATTCTCTTCTTAAATGGTGATGACAAACTTGTTGAAAGATATGATCGATATGTACTTCATCGACAATTAGAACAAATGGATGAATTTATTTGGTGTTCTAATGTGTTATGTAATGTTGGACAAATAAATGAGGGTGGTGCACTAAATAATATTGTTACTTGTTTTAATTGTCATCAAAAAACATGTTTTACGCATAAAATTAAATGGCATGATAGATTAAGTTGTAAAGAACTCGATATGAGTATGGATCCAATTTATGAATCTAGTCGAAGATGGATTGTTGAAAATTCTAAAAAATGTCCCAATTGTCCATATCAAATAGAAAAAAATAATGGATGTGATCATATGACTTGTATCAAATGTCGTCATGAATTTTGTTGGTCATGTTTAGCAGATTTTCAACCTATACGAAAATATGGAAATCATCGACATAACCCTACGTGCAAACACTATGTCTCGTACAAGTGACAATAAACTCGTACACAAACTTTTCATTCTAATAAAGAAAACCACTTGATGCATTCTATAAATGCTCAAGACAACTGTCAGCATCTTCTTGGATGTACTAAACTTTTAGCAATTAAATATGTTCAGTATTTGTTGATGAAATACAAAATATGATCGATCTACTCTTCCCAAACAGAATTCAAAGCTTTTCATCAATCATTTTATTTGTATTAAAACATTCAACTAAATGGTTATTGTCTGAAAAAATTTTAATTTTGTTTGATTGAAGATGATACTTGTTGAATGTATATAGATAGAACTTTAATAGTTCAAGTCTGAAGTTAGACATATATAAACAGCATAAAGATGCTCGCAGTTTGAAAAATTCTAAAATGAGTGATGATCGCAGTTGATATTTATTGAAGGAACTTTGTCATGTGATTTATCATTTTCAAAATGAGTTTTACTTGATTAGGAACATCCTATTCAGATCGAAGAAAGCTTAAAAGAATTCCTACCTGTGAATCTTTCTTCTTGAGTTATGGTCATTTTTAGTGAGTTTTTCAAGAAAATGTCATGCTCCCAATCACCCACTCATGGTCTCAAACTTAACTTTCGAGTTTTGTTTGTAAAATCTACCCACATTAATTTTTTAAAGTAGTCAGTTTATTGGGAAAGTACCAGATTTTCTAGTATCTTCTATCTTCAAATGCCAATATTAAAAAACCTTGAGAACGTAGACGAAGATAATCACGACACCTGTACCAAATTCCGGATATACCTAATTAAATTTTCGTCGCTCAGAGTTTTGAAAGAGTGCTGCTAGATAGAATGTGCCATGTAAAAAAGGTAAAAATCCCTATCATATCAATTCGACCAATGACAGAAATCAATGTCAATGAATAGATAGTGAATAAAGTGCATCAAGATAGAATCATTTACGATAAAATCACACGTATGCGAATTTCCTAGGAAATAAAATATTAATCCAACGAATATAGATATCCCAAACATGTGGTAAATCGAGTGAGATTATGTATTGTGATACAAAAAATTAATTATTTCTTCATTCTTTCATTGTGTGAAAAACTTAACTCTCAACGGCTACTTTTTCATATGCAGGCTGTTTTTTTTATATAAAGGTGTATCTTAATATTTGAAAACTCAGGTTGAAGTATCTTTCAAAAAGTATTTCTGTGAATATTTTCTCTAGTAATACATATTTAATTGATAGGAAGCTAAATTTGATGAAAAACATTCTTCTCAGAAGGATATTCATAGTTATGACATAGAGTCTGGAAAGATGTAACGGTTGCCAGACCTTATTATTTAAAGTCAGTGTAGTGAGCTGCATACAGTCATATATGTCTTTTATGAAAAAGGGATTTTCCACTTGGGAGTTGTCTCCCTTAAGTGAAATTCCATCATCGTCATCGAAATCTTAGCACCGTGACTAAATGAGTTACTTCTACGATTAATACAACAGCAATAAAACTGAAAAATTAAGTATTAGTGTACGTAGTAGATGACTCTGTTAAATCGTCTGATTCAGTTTGGCTAACACATATGAATCCAACATACAGGTTTTGTTTTTTGACAAGATTAACTAGATTCAAATTTTCTAATGAGAGGTTTTCACCAACGGAGCCCAATTCGACTATGAACACTCTTATACCCAGATTACTTACTTTGAAGAAATGAATAGTGAAAAATAATAAAGAAATTGTATCTAAACGACTGATGGTGTCAGTACTTTAAAAAATAACAACAGAGTTCATTCTGCATCTATATCAAACACGCATTCGTATATGCCATGCAAAAGAGATACAACACAATGGTATATAAGAACAAAGTTTTAGAAGTCACGAGGAGTTACTGATTGATATGGCGGCAAGTGGTACATATTTGCCCAAACATGCGAAAGACAGACAGATGCATGAAAGCGAAAAAAGATTTGGAGTGGTGTAGCAATAGCGGCAATGATCGACCATGGAATGACATGGTAGAAGGCTAGTTGAAACGGATTTGCTTCATGCTTTGTCGTTGTTGTTGTTTTTTCAAACCAGAGACTCAGATCAAGCATGATCAGTAGAGTGATCATTTCACGTGCTGGGTATTCGTGTTTAAAAGTTCGTTTCAAACGCTTGCGCAATGCAAGGAGAATAAACAATGCATGTACAGTACCTTCGACGAATTCTAGAAGAGATAAAATCAGTAGAATCTACGTCATTCTAGTTGAAAACTAGTCTGACTCAAAGCTCAGTAAAGTATTTCATGGATTCATCTATAACTAATCTTAATCGTTTATTCTAACATGTATCATACCTAAAATAATGATTGCTACTTTAACATAGGCAAGCCATGTTGATGAACTCAGGTTACTAATAATGGCGAAAGCACTGAAGATCGAATACAAGTAGATGCCTGTCAATGAGACAATAATGAGAACATCGTCGAAACCTATTTGATAAATAAACATATTGGATGGTTTTCTTTTCTTTTCTTTCACTCACGTGTCGTCGTTCTGCGATAGCTCAATTTTCGAATTTTGATTAATGACCATATCGTAGCACATAGTGAAAGAGTTAATAAACACAAATTCACGATCTCAAGAATGGCAATGCTGAAATCTATCCTTTTCAAAGAGTTTGATATAGAATTCAATGGATTATGAACGGCAACAATCACATTAGGTATTATTGAAGGCATTGAATGTTGTTGATGCGATATCATTTTTGTACTTGTATGCATAGTATGTGAATGATCATGATCCGTGTTAGCCAATGAAGATGACGTCAAATGAATAGTATCACCGATTTTGTTTCGAAACATAGCATAGATAAGGGTAGAAATTATTGTACACGAGAAAAAGATCATTCCAGCAAAGAGCCCTTTTACGGATGCATGACAATTTACCATAAAAATATTTTTTGTTGATTCTTTATTCGATATTTTATGTTTAAACGTTTTCCCAATATTTTCCCAGATGAGATAGAATAGCTACATGAAATTAATGAGGTTGTATATGCATAGGTCACAAACAAGTAGAACTTACTGTCAGGCACATAAGACTAAATTCGATTGTACATGGATATAGGAGCGGTTTCAATTTCATGTAACCTTCACGGATGAAAGTATTAGGTCTTGGTCCATTGGCAAGTAAATTTGAACAATTCAACTGGAAGAGTAGTAGCCGATGGAGAAGATTCATTGTGTTTTGATTGTCTTCGATTCGGAAAAGTGTAAGAACAAAATAAATACAAAACAACGATGATCACTCACCATTACTAAAGTGGCTAGCGGTACTATGGTAGTGTGTCATAGCCACTTCATGACCATTTAATTCTGTGATTTGTGATATGGTTTCAATCACAACCATGCGAAACCTGTCAAAATACGTAATGCGGCATTATCTTATGGTTTTAGAATTTGATAGAAATATTGTTTGACGAAATTTAGATCGTTTGTAACTCATTTTTAGATTATGATAAAATTATCAGAATTAAAATTTATTTCAAAAGTTTTAAAATAAGCTGAATTGTAGATGAATAACAGATGATATTGATCCAAGGAAAACTGAGAAATCAAATGGTTTGATTTTTCTTTATCAAAAAGTGTAAAGAAACGAATAGATCTTTTCCAGATCACAAGATTTCGCTTTTTTACTTTCAAGGATGATATTCGCATCAATGAATGCTCGAAAATAAATTTAACCATTCTTATTTGGAGTCACAAAGGAACCTACCATACACATAAATTAGTAACCACGATATGAATCACTGCCAAACGAGCAAGACTCTCATGAGCTCGAATGATGAGCTAAAGTATGATGAATTTTCGACTTATTATTTGATATTGCATTGTTTCAGAATAACATACGTTTGAATGTTTGAAAACGAAGAAGAATTGAATGAAGGTGAAGACTAACCGCGAGAAATCATCCATTACAGCTGTCCATCGTGTACACGATCCATTTTCCACATTACTCAGAATCGATAGACTCGAATGAATGACTGTGCCAAGACAAAAAACTAGAATGATCTTATTAGATGTACAGCATTGGCTAATATTTTTTTGTTCAACTTACTTCCGATGCCTACACGAGTATAAAGACCACCAACAATTGAATTATCATCGTAATTGTAACCAATAACGTGTTGAAAAATACTCTCTCTTCGATGGCGTACATAAGCTATTAGGTTATGTTTTTCGGCTGGATCAAGAGCACGTCGTCGAGTTAAAATATCTCGTACCGTATCCATTGTTGGTTTTGCTATTGATAATCGGTCTAAGAGATTGTCCGAAGAGTCCGATTTAATGCGACGGCCACGAAAACTAAGTGCCTCTTCTTTGTCTGTTACTGACTCATTGGAGTTTTTCTCTAGTTGTGCTTCATCATTATCACCTAATTGGCTTTTTTCGGACTCATCAAATAATTTTAACTTAATATGGGGTTTAGTCAAGGATTCAGAAGTCGGTTCTGACAATGTCGATACGAGTTTTTTCTGTGCAAGACGAACATCACTTGCCAAATCAGTCTGGTTGGATTCCAGTTGGTTCAAAGTTCCGGTAGGAATTTCGACTTTATGTCGATGACGAATGATATCAATAATACAGAACGTAATCCAAATGATGGATACCCAGTATAGATAAGTGAAGAAGATCTATGATGCAGTGAAATCGATGTTGTTCGTAAATTCCAATTCTTCTAAGAATTCGCATGCTTACCTCAGTCAAGTGTTTGATAATTTCAGCTTCCCATGTTGGTACAATAGCATGCGAAATTGACAAGGATACACCACCAATGAAGATAACTAATGAACGATAGTGTTTATAGTCACTGCAAGCAAAATCATGTTTCGAATCAGCAGCTCATCTGTCAATCATATTAGATTGAGTTAATCGTTTCAGGATGTGACTCTGAATCAAGAGATGGCCTACTCCCGCGCTCTCGTTAGAAATTTGCTATTGGACTAAAAGACTCAGTTGTCATAATACATTCTTCAATCTTATTATAAATTGAAGAGGTCTACTAATGAAGAGGAAATTAAGAAATACCTTTCAGTGTTGATTTCAGTTCAACACTAAAATCCAGTCGAAAAAAAATATCGTAAAATGTTGAGACTTATTAATATAGTATGTCAGAATAAAATTATGTTAAATATAACATTAGTTATCGAAGTATTCATCCTGTCTATCTATACACTTGCCAAATGAATACTATTTTCTGTTAACCACTTCATTTTCAACTAATATATTCTTCTGAGAATAGTTTACCATCACTCGGATTGCTTAGCATAAATCGATCATGAACAATCAGAAATACATCAATCGCTTTCTTTCTCTGATTTTCTTCCTGGTTCATTGAGTCGCGATAAGATTGTAACTTCGCGACCTTTATTTTACCATGTACGTATGTTTGATAGTTCAAAACAGCAATATCTCATGGTGAAGCATCAAAATACATCAAAATATGAGATGTACTAGGACTACAAAATATGACTCGAACTTTCAAAAGCAGCTTAGCGAATCTAATATCTGAAGCGAGTCAAAATTGACTGCTTTCTTTTCTAGAGCTCTATCTACCAGTCAAAGAAAGATTACTTCGATACTGCTTATGACAAACATTGCAAGAGATAGAAGGGTATAAGACTTCAATAGTTTTAAAATAACACTCTATCAGGACTTCATCAAAAACGTTAATATTTTTTAGGAAAGATAAACTAGAATATGGTCGTTAGATTATAGTATAAAATATTTTGTTTTATCATCGTTTTCTAAATGAAGAGAAAAGTATGGCGCATCAGAACGAAATGATCAACAATCTGCATCGTAAGATCTTTGCAGAGTTTTATACTAAAAGTACAATTCTCGCACAAAAAAGGAGTCAGTTCAGCGAATTCTATTGGAATACACGAGAAAATTGAATTTCAACCAATAAAAAGGCAGCGAAGTCAATTTACACTGTTTATACACTTTTCCTCGCGCGCCATCGTCTTTTCAATAGTGTCTCTGTATGCAGGATGAAGCCCTAAGATTGTTACATAGTTGTATCTGAAGGGGCCTTAATATGTTGCCCATAGAGAGTAGCGGGTCCGGGTCCAGAAAATTAATGCCACCCGGGTCCGGGACCGGGTCCGGGTGTAGAAATTTGATATCACCCGGGTCCGGGTCCATATGTGATTTATTTTCAGACCCGGTTTGCATTCAACTGCAAATCTAAGTACTGGAGAGTTCAGACCAACGTATAATATTTTCTGTATTCTGTTTCAAAATTTCTTGGCTATTTTCAATTTTGTAATTAAAAAGTCATTTTAAATACAAATAAAAAAATGAGGTTGAAAAAAACAAGAAAAATGAAAAAAAAAATAGACGAATATTAATAAGTTACTGTTGGTTTGAGAATTTTCAATGATCAGTTTTGATTATCAATTAATTCTTTAATTTCCGTTTCGGTTAGCATAATGTTTTTTTCAGTTAAGCAATAAAATCTTAATTATTAAGCATCACGTTGCATGATGAACAAGTGAACAACAGGAAATACCTGTACATAAACTTTTCCTCTGAGAATAGCCAATAATTAGCTAAAACCATGAGTCTTTACTTGTTCATATATACAGATGGTGCTAGATATTGGCGAAACACTTAACGGGTCTTGGTCTGAACCCGACCGGGTCCGGGTCCGTATATGTCAAGCCCGGGTCTAGAAAATTAATGCCACCCGGGTCCGGGTCTGGGAATTTAATATCACCGGGTCTGGGTCCGGTTCGGATCCATAAAAACATGGACCCGCTACTCTCTAGTTGCCCAGTATGTGATTTCTATGTATTTATCAACAATGATTAAAGAAAAAAATATTTTTTAACATACAGCTCATACATATAGATATAAATATAGATAGATGTATAAATGTCTAATGAAAGTTACAACTTTGACAAGTTTCAAGACGAACGTAGTTATTATCAACAAGATAAGCTATCAAGACAGTTTTTAAAAATAGAAAGAAAAGATAATCGCAGTTTTTGAGAAAAGGATATTTTTTTGAGACATATTGTTGAAGAATGACAATGCAAATTACTTAACACTTTTGAATAGATGAATTTACATCGATTTCTTTTACCACGCCTTTTAAAGAAACATTCTGAACATTTACTGTCAGTAGGTAAAAGCTTGGAAGCTAGCGATTTCTATTGATAATTTTGGCTAGGGTATGGATGCTTTCATAACTCACATTGAATGACTTTTTGAACTGCCGTTACATAACCATATATCTATCGAGCTGTTTTAAAAATTAAATATAAAGAAACCATCATCTCATATGCTAGTGAAACCGATTTCTCATGCAATTAAAGATTCTATTTGAAATTTTATTCTATTTACTACTCCTAACAGTCAGCTACAAATTTTCTATAAATCGTTTTATTTCAACATAGTGCAAATTTTCAAAAAAAAAAAAGTCACACCAACTTTTATCCTCTTTCTGTCATCATGCTGCTTCATGTTTTTGTCATAAAATTTCACACAGTTGAGTTGAATGAATCGAGATTTTCCGTGATTGAGAACAAGGCAAATATGTATATTTTGAAGAAGCAATTATGTTTCTGAAGAACTCACTTGCTGAGGCAATTCAAAAGAAAAAGACTTCAGCCACAACATCCTCGCGCGATACTTAAACAAACTGATATATGTTGATATCCAAACTCCTATTCAGGTCAACATTGGACCCAACTAGACATATATGGAATCATACTGAATCTGAATTGGGACACCGACATATGTATTTTAAACAAATCTGGTAATTTTTTATTATGAAATTGAAGATAATTTATTATCGACTTATGATTAAAGTTGAGCATAACTTACCTAAACCATACAGTATGCTGAAAATTTTGTATACATCCGCATTCTCATAATTGGTTCTATACAGAAAAAAAAAGAGAAGGATGTCATTAGAAGGGAAAGTA